AAAGTACCAAGATGTTAAAGTTGCTGATGATTATGTATCTGTCATGTCACTTACATTAGAAATCCAAGTTAGTCTACTGTTTATCTTTCATAGACATATAAAGAAAATTCTTTAGTATCTATGACTTGACAGTTGGAAGTTTAATGATGTTAATTCTACTTGTGATACAAACAGGAAAAGGTGAAGAATTCTGGTCGTTTGGGGGTTCATGCTGTCAGTGAAGTTGCTTCAGACTTAGCTCCAGATTATGTTGAGCGTCATGGGCTCAAATCTGTTCCTAAATCTGTGGCTTATGGTTACACTGCTTCAGGATATGGATTTATTCAAGACATGCCTTATGCCTACATTCATGAATTCACTAGAACTTCCATGGCTGGAAAAATTCGACGATTTAAAGGTGGATATACGAGCCTTTGGCAGAGAATTGCTGAATCAATTCCTATAAAACTTCACTGTAACACTGAGGTGTTGGCAATCAAGAGGAACTCTGACTGTGTCAATGTTAATGTCAAGGGCCGAAATGAAAGTGAAACTATGGAATTTGATAAGATCATCATCTCGGGTAACTTTCCTTTAAAATATGGAAGAACATATAGATCAGTGCCTTCAACTTGCATAGGTACGAACACTTCTCACTGCTTCATATTTACATATTTATTTTGTTATGAATTTAACTAGAATACAGTTAATTAAAATACAACAATAATATAAGATTTTTTACATTATCATTCAATAATTAATTGACAAATAAATTATATAATAACATATTGTTAGATTTTGTAATAATCACTTTAGAAGTAATATCTAGGATAGTTTCTAATTAGTTGACTATCTTTATGCTGATATTATATCAAAATCAATCTCTTTTCTTGTGGTAGAGTGTGAAACAGAAGTAATGGATGTAAGTGAGCTTGAAAAGGATTTGTTCAGCAAAGTAGAAACAAATGACTACTACACAACTGTTTTAAAGATCAAAGGGCTAGAACATATGCCTGTTGGATTTTATTATTTTAATGAATATATGGAAGATCCCAGCACAATTGGAAATCCAGTTGCCATGCAGAAGTTTTATGCTGACACTAACATATTCTTGTTCTGGTCCTATGGAAACTCTGCTGATATTAAGGGACCAACTGTCACTGAGCTTGCAATCAAATCAATAGAATCCATGGGGGGTGAGGTTGAGAATTTCATTCTTCAACGTCGATTTAAGTATTTTCCTCATGTTAGCAACCAAGGTATTATTTTTCAGTAGTTTTCAAGTTCCATTTTCCCCTTTGAAGCAAGAATTCTAAATTTTGAAGCTTGAATGCAGATATGAGAAACGGGTTCTATGAGAAGTTGGAGTCAGAACTTCAAGGTTCAAGGAATACTTATTATGTTGGAGGGCTTATGGCATTTGAGCTTACAGAGAGAAATTCATCTTATGCCATGGGTTTGATCTGCAAGAACTTTGCAAATAAAAGTGATTTACCAATATTTCCTTACACCAAGGTAAATTAGCACTTATATATTATAACCAGTCATTGATTTGAATAATCTGGATTTTACATACTTTGGGGAGTCGTGTTTTCCAAATAGAGCTGCACTTACTATAAAAATGTGTTATGCAGAGTTTGTTTCCCATGCAAACTGAGTTCCAGAAAAAGGAGCCTAAACAACTAGATGAATTGACTGGAGTGCAATTTCCCAATTTGCCTACTTTGAATAGCTATTTAAAGCACTGGGGAACTCATCCAGTAACTCAAAGCAGAACTCTTTATACTTGGATAAATGAAGGAGGGGCAGTGGCTGGCAAGAGGACTTATGAAGAACAACATTTAAATGCTTCTTGCATTGCACATAAGCTCTTAACAAGCCAAAAGCCAGTTATCAAGCCCGGTGACAGGGTTCTCCTAGTCTATGTTCCTGGCCTAGATTTCATTGATGCCTTCTTTGGGTGTCTAAGAGCTAAAGTTTTACCAGTTCCAGTTCTTCCCCCGGATCCCATGCAGAGAGGTGGACAAGCACTTCTAAAAATTGAGAACATTGCCAAGTCATGTGGCATAGTAGCAATTTTATCAACGGTAGGTTACCACTCAGCAGTGCGTGCAGGACTAGTGAAAAGTTTGATCACATTAACTGGAAAAAGTGGGAAATCCACAGCTCAATGGCCTAAACTTCCCTGGCTGCACACTGATACTTGGGTCAATAACTCAAGAAATTTGGCTAAGGAAGATGCTGATGATCAATGTGAATCTCACCCTGGTGACATATGTTTCCTGCAGTTTACCTCAGGTTCAACTGGTGATGCTAAAGGAGTCATGATAACACATGGAGGGCTCATTCACAATGTGAAGTTGATGAGAAGTATATACAAGAGCACCTCAAGGACAATGCTAGTGAGTTGGCTTCCTCAGTATCATGACATGGGGCTGATTGGAGGACTTTTTACAGCTCTTGTTAGTGGTGGATCTGCTGTGCTGTTTTCACCAATGACATTTATTAAGAAACCACTCTTATGGCTTGAAACAATCAGCAAGTATAAAGCAACTCACAGTGCTGGCCCCAACTTTGCTTTTGAGCTGGTGGTTCGAAGGTTAGAGTCTGAGAAAGACAAGCTTCAGAGTTTAGACCTTTCATCCATGATTTTCCTTATGGTTGCTGCTGAGCCAGTAAGGGTGAAGACCTTGAAAAAATTTCTCGAGTTAACATCTCCTTTTGGCTTATCTCAAAAGGTGATGGCTCCAGGATATGGCTTAGCAGAAAACTGTGTGTTTGTCAGCTGTGCTTTTGGAGAAGGTTGTCCAATTGTTGTTGACTGGCAGGGAAGAGTTTGCTGTGGATATGTTCATCCAGGTGATGCAGATGTTGACATCCGAATAGTTGATCCAGAGAGTGGTGAAGAGCTTGAGGAAGATGGAAACGAAGGAGAAATCTGGATAAGTAGTCCAAGTGCAGGAATAGGATACTGGGGGAAAGAAGAAATGAGTCAGAAAACTTTTAGAAATGAGCTTCAAAACCATCCTGGACGTATCTACACAAGAACTGGAGACTTGGGAAGAATAATAGAAGGGAAGCTATTCATCACTGGGAGAATCAAAGATCTTATCATTGTGGCTGGAAGAAACATCTACTCAGCAGATGTTGAAAAGACAGTTGAAAGTTCATCTGAATTTCTTCGTCCGGGGTGTTGTGCAGTCGTTGGTGTTCCTGAGGAAATTTTATCAGCAAAGGGGATTTCCCTGCCAGATGGTTCTGACCAAGTTGGCTTGGTTGTGGTTGCTGAAGTAAGGGATGGTAAAGCAGTTAGCAAAGATGTGATCGAACACATTCAGACTCGTGTGGTTGAAGAACATGGAGTCACTGTTGCTGCTGTCAAGTTGATCAAGCCAAGAACCATCAGCAAAACAACCTCAGGAAAAATCAAGAGATTTGAATGTCTCAAACAGTTTGCAGATGAAACACTGAACTTGGTGCCACAGCCTATTTTGACAAGGAAATCACTAGTGAGGTCATTTACTACAGGAACATGCAGAGAAGGAAGAACACCCCGAGCACACTTGGTGAGAAGTGGTACACCTCAACCTATTGCAAGAATCGGTAACAAGGAAATTGTGGAACAATTGAAAAGGCTTATTTCTGAGCAGTCTGGAATCCCAGTCAACAATATCTCAGTCACAGACAACATGTCAACCTATGGAATTGATTCAATTGGAGTGGTTAAAGCAACTCAAAAACTCTCAGATTTCTTGGGTGTGCCAGTTGCGGCTATAGATGTTTTCACTGCATCATGCATTCAAGAATTGGCCAACTTCTCAGAGAATCTTCTACTTAAGTCTCAACCTCAACTTATGAGCAATTCATCCCATGCTCAAGAAGCTGAATTTGATTACACTGAAGTGGTTGTTGATGTGTCCAATTCTCGCCAATGGGGTATCCGTTTACTTCAACTCCTAGCACTTATTTATATCTCTATCATGCTGGTCTCTCCTGCTTATCTATCCATCACTACTTTTCTAAGTTTCATACCAAATGTGAGTGATTCGGTATATGGAATGCCTTGGTCAAACTATTTGTTTTCCTTGGCTTTGGCACCCCTTTCTTGGATCCTTTGCATGGTTTTTACTTGCATTTGCATTTCAATTTTCGGGAATTCCTTCTTGAGACCAAACTATGCCCTTACACCCGAAGTATCCATCTATTCAATGGATTTTGTCAAGTGGTGGGCGCTATATAAAACTCAGGAGATTTCTTCAAAAGTTTTGGCAACACACCTCAGAGGAACAGTGTTTCTGAAATACTGGTTTGAGATGCTTGGTGCGAGAATTGGATCCTCAGTTTTGCTAGACACAGTTGATATCACAGACCCATCTTTGGTTTCAGTAGGAGATGAAGTTGCCATTGCTGAAGGGGTTTTGGTTCAAAGCCATGAGGTAAAGAATGGAGTTCTAAGTTTCCATCCTATTAGGATCGGTAAAAACTCTTCAATTGGACCTTATGCTATTATTCAAAAAGGAAGTGTTATCAGAGAAGGATCCGAGGTACATCCCCTGCAAAAGGTTGAAGGAGGCCAACATGTGCTTAAACCTGCTAAGCTTAATAATGTTAAAGAGGTCAGTGCTAAAAATTATGAGAGCATTTTCATTCTTTTTTGCTCAAACTACATCACTTCATATAATAGTTAGCTAATAGCTATTTATAATATGAGTTACGATACCATACGTTGTCGCTTTGATGTACTATTGTATGTCACATCAGTTTATTTGCTTAGTGTCATTGTATGAAGAATTACACATTCTATTATATTTCTCTGACGCTAAAAGATCTATCCAGTTCATCCTGTTTAATTTCATGTTTCGAATTTAAGGTTTAGGAGTCATCCTACTTAATTTCATGCGCGTCAAAATCTAGTTTAAATTAGTGGTAAGTACGTAGCCCTTGAATCTTGAACTAAAAATGTCTTTTCATTTTATTTCAGAATGCAGTGTTGCTTGTCACTACAGGCAAAAGTCAGTCTAGTGCCATTTACCATTTTCTGGGGATATATCTCACTGGCTTTCTCAGCTCCCTTGCCGCAGCTATTGCTTACATCATGTATATAAGGTTCTTCCAGATACCTGCATCATTCCAACACTACTCATTTGTTTGCATATGTGGTGCCTTCCACTGGATCCCCTTTACCATTGTTGCATATGCCACCATGTTTTCTGATGTACCATCAAATCCCATTGCCTTTACCATATCATTTACCTGCGCATACTTGCTTCATGGTCTCATACTCACCTCTCTCACATGTGCTTTGACCCGTTTGCTCAAATTAAATCAAAACCAAACCCATTTTAAAACCTGGCTTCGACACCAATTGACCATTTCCTGCCACCTTAGATTTGCAAAGCTTCTCTCAGGAACAGAAGTCTTCTGCATATATTTACGCCTTTTGGGTGCAAAAATTGGCAAGCACTGTTCCATTAGAGCCATCAACCCAGTTTCAAACCCTGAGTTAATGTCAATAGGTGATGGTGTCCATCTTGGTGACTTTAGCAGGATCATCACTGGTTTCCACTATTCCAACGGATATGCTTGTGGAGAAATACAGGTTCAGGATAATTCAGTTGTGGGGAGTCAAAGCATAATCCTCCCAGGTTCTGTTTTGGAAAAGAATGTCATTTTAGGTGCACTTTCAGTTGCTCCAATGAATTCCATTCTCCATGAGGGTAGCGTGTATATTGGATCTCAAACAAGAGTTGCAACCAGGAACTCTTCAATTGCTTTAGATGAACGGATAGAGGAGATGGACATGGAATACAAGAAAGTAGTTGCAAATATGGCTGCAAATTTAGCTGTCACAACTATTAATGTCAAAGCAAGATACTTCCATCGCATTGGTGTTGGTGGAAAGGGGCACTTGAAAATCTATGACAAACTCGAGGGCATTCCAATGCACAAGATTTTTCAACCTGGAAAGAGCTACCCTATCATGGTAATGATAGGATGTTTTGTATTTGTTTGTTATAAAGATATATTGTCATTGTGCATCTAGTACTCACATTTATCTCCATATGATATATGTCTATTTTGAATTTAATCTCTCGTAGATTTGCTTTTAAACAAAAGACATCATACATACTAATGGAGACTTGACTTTGTTGTACTTTATAAATCTGTTTTTCATTTAGTTATAATAACGTGGAACTTTATTTATATCCCAATAGGTAAGACACAGTAATAGCTTGAGTGCTGATGATGATGCAAGGATCGATGCACGTGGTGCAGCTTTGAGGATTCTTTCTGATGCACCAGATTCTAACCATGCTCCCGTGATTGACCTCACACTAAAAACTGGAAACGCATTTTATGCTCGCACTCTTGCTGATTTTGCAAGCTGGCTTGTGTGTGGACTTGCTGCGAGGGAAGAACTTGTCAAGAAAGCCCCTCATGTTCGTGAAGCAGTGTGGAATTCCCTTAGACATGCTCACTCATATGCTGAATTGCATTACTACTCAAACATTTGCAGGCTCATGCGCTTCACTGATGGACAAGAAATGTACGTGAAGTTTAAGCTAAGGCCTATTGACAAAACCATTAGTGAGGACACAGGTAAGGTTGAACCAATTGGAATCCTTCCACCAGAAACAGGTGCAATTCCTAGGGATGAAAATGACGCACGTCCCTTACTTTTCCTTGCTGAAGATTTTCAAAAGCGCGTGAATTCCCCAAGTGGAGTTCACTATATCTTTCAAGTGCAACTTCGAGCAGTGCCACATGATGAAGCCACACGTGACATTGCCCTAGACTGCACCAAACCATGGGATGAGAATGAGTTCCCTTACATTGATGTTGGAGAGATACACATCAAAGAGAATCTCTCCATGGAAGAAACAAATGCGCTTGAATTCAACCCTTACCTCAAAAGCCACGAGTTGGATGTGATCCCTGCCACTTCCAAAACGCAAAGTGCTTCAATTGATCATGGCCGTTCATTGATCTACGAGATTTGCCAGCACGTGCGTAATAGACAGCCTCTCCCAGAATCTTGGAGGAACCTCGTAGAGCAATCCATCGTTAAGGTGGACTTGTCATGTTGTCCCGTGGCAGCATCATTGCCCAAAAAGGAGCCAAAAAAAGTGATAACAACGACAACAACCACCTTAACCTTGACAAGAACATGGTACCAAACCTTCTCAGCACTCTTCACTCAACCGTTGCTACAAACGGTTTTGCCTTTCATGGTGTTAGGTTTAGCCGTTTTTGCTCCTTTGAGCTTTGTTGTCAACCTCAAGAACGTGGAGAAACTCCAAGTGCAATGGTTGCTTCCTTTGTTTTGGATTCTCTCAGGTGTCATGGCTGCACTTGCATGCGTTGTGGCAAAATGGGTTCTCGTGGGAAGGAAGAGAGAAGGTGAAACCATACCCTTGTGGGGCAAAAGGGTCGTCATGGATAGCACGTGGCAAGCCATTAGAACCCTTGTTGGGGACTATTTCATGGACATGGCATGTGGGTCGTTTGTGTTTGTAATGTGGATGAAGATGATGGGTGCGGACATAGACATGGATGGAGTTTACGTGGACAGCGTGGGGGCATTGTTGAACCCTGAAATGGTGCAGATTGAGAGAGGGGGTTGTGTGGGAAGAGAGGCTTTGTTGTTTGGACACATATATGAAGGTGATGAAGGTGGCATGGTGAAGTTTGGAGGAATCAGAATAGGTGAAGATGGGTTTGTGGGAAGTAGAGCAGTAGCCATGCCTGGGGTTCATGTGGAGAATGAGGCCAATCTTTCTGCATTGTCACTAGCCATGAAAGGAGAAATAGTTAGGTCTAGATAATTACGAGTGATCGGATACAACTTACAAGTATTTTTTTTTTATCAAAACTGCTATTTTAAAAAATACTTGTAAGCTTATATCCACACGAACTATGAGTATATAAGTATATATACAATCATAATATGTATGTTATCCTATCATTATACTCGGTAGATTGAGGTAATAATTATAATGATGTGAGATAGATATGATCACATGATAGTGTGAGAAAAAGTTTACTCCATCGTGGATTAAAATTGTTATATATATGTCTCTCAAGTTTATTCAATAAAACAAACCTTATAATTTATGTGTATTTGATCTGAATTACCACATCTGATTAGGATCACAATTCACTGAATGAACACTGCTTTGCCTAGTGCCTACCATGTATTTTAAGTGAACCGTAAATGCTTAGCGATTCAAATTAGTCCTTCAAATCGTGTAAAAGAAATTTTGGTTTGTGAAATTGACAATTCAATCAATTTATTGATACTTGTAATTTAATTAATTATATATCAATAATTGATTAAATTTATGAAAGAATAAATTGATCAATATGTAGAATTTTATAAATTAATTATTACCTTTGTTTTTATATATAAAATTTAAATATCTAATTCACTAAGATTAAAAAAAGAAGTTAATCTAATGGATAACAATAAATTTATTTTATTTTATATATATTTTTTAAAATTACTTTATATTCTCTCATAATTAATAATATTTACACTTCTATCCAATTAGAATATACATCTTTTAAAGAGTATACAATTAATATATTTTATCAAATTAATAGAATATATTTTAATTAAGAATATTTTAAAAAATATACATCTTTTAAAGAGTATACAATTAATATATTTTATCAAATTAATAGAATATATTTTAATTAAGAATATTTTAATTTAAAAATAACTAATATATTAAATATTACAAATTGCGTCTTATATTAAAAAAAATAGATAATTCTAGTTGGATCTTGAAAATGAGATAGTAAAATATTATTCAATCTAATCGTAAGAAGAAATAAGTAATTATCTAACAAATCTATGGAGTTTCACATAATGACTTGAAGCAACTAATATTCTTAAAATATTCATAACATTTTTGCCCAGTTTGGGGAGAAATATCTTTACTAATTATACAAAGGAATGTTACTTTTAATAACTATTTTTTTAGTTTTCATTTTAATATAGATTTTTGTTCTTTATATTTTTTTATTTTTGCAGTCAAGAATTAATTATTTTTTGTTTTTAATGCAGGAAAAAAAATAAAAGAATACAATAACTATCCATTTATTTTATTTTTTTATTTTATTTTTTGGTGGAGGTAAGTGTTTCTTTTCTTACTAATAATAATAATAAGATTTAAACATTTTTTAATTTATATAATTTTTCAGTTTTAATTCTAAAAAAGTTGGTTTTAATTTATGAAAAATATGATTTTTTTTTTGCTTTTGGTTATTATTATTTGACTTTAATGTTTACAATATTCGGTCTATATTTGTAATATTTAATTTTTGAAGATCAGTGATGCAGTTGTTGTCGCATGTTGTTTTTCTTTCTAATTTTAAGTCATATGTTGTTAATATATGATAGATTCTGAGTTGCATGTATGAATGGTTATTTGAATGAGAAGACTTTGGAGTCAGTTTGTGTTCTTGAGATTGTTTGATTTGTTTTTGGATTCATGTAATTTTTTTGGACTTGCTCGCTTGAAGTGTCCATGAGTTACTTAAACGAGCAATGGATCATCTCAAGTGGGTATTTGACTTGACTTGCTTGGAGCAAATTTTTTAGCACTCTGAACGAATTTGGTTCGCTCAAAGTGAAGACTTACTCGCTTAAGTGAGCAAATCAAAACTCTCAAGGATGCTCTCTATTTGAAATCGCTCAAAGCTAGATTTTAGAGTGTTTGAAATGCCAATTTTCCATTAAGTCGTATAATTTTCTTAACTTAACTTGATGAGTTGATTGAGTATATGATGCATGATGATGATATAACGTAGGTCTTTGTATATTGATCTATGATGATATATGATGATGTTGGAGTTGCCTAAGTTGTAAGTTGCTAGTTGATTAAAGATGTTAAGTTGTGTAAACATATTGGATCGAGTGCTTATCATTAGACCAAAAGTTATAGTTGATAGTCAAAATGCAACTCTTTCTACTTAACCGTAGCAGCCCAAGCGCCATGTGTCTCAATTGTGACTTGACCCACTCGAGCCTCCACCACAGGATAATTGATGCAACCCAACAAATAATCTCCCCCTCAACAATTGCTCCCACTGGAAATCGAACACCCGACCTTGACTTTGATATCAATCGTTAAATCAAGCATTTATCACTAGGCCAAAAGTTATAACTTAGTTAAGACATAATTTTTTCTACTTAATCGTAGCAACCCAAGCACCATGTGTTTCAATTGTGACTTGACACACTCAGGCCTCTGCCATGGGACAATTGATGCAACCCAGCAAACAACATGTAGTGTTGAGATGCATTTTTAAGTTGAGATACATAAAACTATAGGAGAATAAAGTTATTTTAAAAATTAAAATATCTCATTGTGTGGATATAAGTTGTGGTGCTCTAAGATCCCAAAGTTGAGTTTTTTTAATAAGTAAGTGAGCTATTGAATGGGTAGTTAATAATTTGAAGTTTTCTCCTTTAGGTTTCATGTGAAAACAATATGAGGGTCAGGTTAAGTCATATTAATTATAAAGTGACCAATGTAGAATCGTATGGGATCAGGCCGAGTCATACATATATGAAATGACCAGTTGAGGTTTAGATATGCATGTTAAGGTTGTGGTAAGATCACACCCAAGTTGTTATATCGTGACGGTAGAACTAGACTTTATTCCTAGTTTAGTGACGAAACCTGAGAAATTAATTTAAGTTGTTAAAAGGTGCTTGAGTAGCCTGAAGTTGTATTTACTTGACTTGGTAGCAGTAGGTCAAATTTAGTGATTCAGTAGAATCAAGTCACTTAGACTACTCATCTCAATTGTAGGAGATCTCCATAAGTTGATACGCATAATGACACATTAGTTATTTAAAGTTGTTTATATTGTGATTAAAGTTGATTATGTTGAAAATGTTGTTCATGTTATAAGTTATATTTGATGATTGTAAGTTGTAAATGATGATAATAAGTTGATGTTGTACTATGAACTACTTTGATGTTGTTTAAGTTGTTTGTGTTGTATAAATTGTAAATTCATTATTTATTACTTTGTTGATTTTTTCACAAGCTTACCTTTGTTTTTTCTTATGATAAAACTGTAATGATTATACTTGGTATAAGAGTAAAACATTATTAGTTTGGATGACTTGACTTGTTGGTGGATGGTCATGTTGAAGATGACCATTTTTGTATATACTGCTCTTTTGTAGTATGGTTGTATACAGATGATTGATAGACAATAAGGTTTATGTTTTCATTACTTGTTTATTTTGATGTATATTGCATATATGCAACTTCATAAGGGGTTTTATGGTTTTCAGTCTTATAAGCATGAATTGTTTTAAGTTTTTTTACACCATATACATATATCCATTGCATAAATGTCCAAGTAATTATTGCATGAGAACCATAATGTAGTAAATGACTTCATATTTCTTCGTTATATAGTAATTGTGTTATATTAAATATAGTAATATATCATATCGTTACATAATTACTTTTAAGAGCTTATATTCAAACAAGACTCTAAGTTGTTGCCATTTATTACACAAAATTGTAGCGCCTAGCCACATAACCACCCCCATTAAACACTATCTCAAAGACCATCCTTTGGATACCTTATTAGAACGTCATATCTAATCAACACACATTTTTAAACACGCTAGCGGGTTCAACATCCAAAAGCTTATTGAGTGAGTAAAGTTCCTTATCCTTGTCTTCAACCAACTCCATTATTTCATATTTGTTGATTCTACTATACCACCAAGTCAATTTATTTATCTTGGAACATCATGATATTTTGAGCTTTCAACAATGCCCACACCAAACCAAATCCCCCTCCACCCTTCCTTATCTATATTTTTGTCACTCATCAAGCCTATAAACGGATGAAATTGGACTCAAGTCTTCTTATAAAAAACATATTTATAACTCACTCAATTTAGACTGAATAGACAAACATGTGAGAATTATTAACACTTATATAATAAATGATTAGTTAATTTTACTTTCCTCTTGCATCTCATACCCTACATGTCCTCCTCTATCAAAATATCCCTTAATATAAATTGGCTTTTATAGTTAATATATATTTTATAACAGTTTCCATGCAAACATTGTTACCTTTAAGAACACTACCTTATTTCACTCTTTTCAACCAATTTACTTTTACGTTAAACACCTTTATCTAAGCACAACTTATCATGACCTACCTTATATCCCAATGAATATATAGTATAAATATATACGTCTCATTTGTCCAACACTACCCTTAAAAAGTTTATAAACAAGCTCATGATAACAAATGAAAAAATTAAAATATTTTAAACTAATTTAAATTATTTATATTTATATGAGAAATTTTATATTTGATAATTAATATTTAATATAACATCGTGTATTTAAATATTTTAATGTTGCTTTATGTTATAATTAATATTGTCATTAATATTTTTTTATCAAATCAATCATATTATTGTCACTAATAATTAATTGCATGAAAAATTATTAATAACTAATTTACCCTTTAAAATAAGAAATAATTAATTGAAATATAAAAATAATAATTATAACTTCTTTATTTCTCTTAAAAAAGGTAATTATAACTATTAAAAAATTATCATTAATTATTATTAATTAGTATTTTAGAATGTACAATGTACATATATATATATATATATATATATATAGAGAGAGCTACGTATTTATCTTACACTACTGCATGCTAGTTATAACTCGTGTTAAATCGACTATTAGGGTTTTGAATGCTATGTTAGCAACCTACACCAAAATTTTATGACAAAAAAATTACTCATTTTTTTTTATTTGGTTAATTTGTATAAAGGATATTATAGTAATTTAATTTGATTTTAAATAAAAATAAAATATTTTATCTCTCTTATTAACTTCATTCACTAAGTCATTTCTTTTTTCTATTAATTAATTTTAATTTGTTTAGAGAGAGGGGAGAGACATCATAAGAGATAAGAGAGAAATGGGTTAAAGAAAGAATTTAGTAGGAGAGACATAAATAAGTTAGAGAAAGAATTTAATAGGAAAGAAAAATGAGTTAGAAAAAGAATTTAATAGGAGAGAGGAATGACTTAGAGAATGAAGTTAATAAGAGAGAGAAGATATTTTATTTTCATTTAAAATTAAATTAAATTACTATAATATCTTTTATACAAATTAACCAAATAAAAAGAAATGAGTGGTTTTTTTGTCTTAAAATTTTGTTGTAGGTTGCTAACATACTCCCACTAAAAAATAGGTGGGAGTATATTAGCATTCCCCATTAATTAAAGGCAAAAATTTATTTTTGTCTCTACAATTTCACGAATGTACGATTTTATACTTCTAAATTTTTTATTGCAAATTCTGTAACAGCCTGATTTTCACAGATTGTACGAAGGTTCAAAGAATAATATTTTATTTATTTAATAAATTATTTTAAAATATTAATATTTAATTCATAAATAATTATAATAAATAAATAAAAATCCAATTACATAAGTTAAAAAAAATTTTACAAACTATTTTATTGAAAAAAAAAATCCTAAAATACTCTCACACAAGATAGAGATTATTGTTTGTCGATTATTTTTTTTATAAAATGAAAATTTTTAAAAATATTTTTAACATCTTAACCAATTAAATTTTTATATTTATCACATTTATGTATGAGTTAAATTTTTAAAATAAATTATCAATAATTAAAAATATTCTTTTGATATGATATAAATTATTTATCATAAATATAAAATATATTTTATATATTTAAAAATATTTATCAATATAATTTTAATATGTTCAAATATAATATTTATATATATATATATATTACATGTGTATTACATGGATTAAAATATTAGTATTTTTATTAAAAAAAAAACAGATTATAATAAAGTTTCCTAAAAAAAACTTATTATAAATATTTTTCAACTTAAATAAAACTATCAATTCATATTATTTAAGAAAAATACGGAAAAATGAGAGAAAGAAAATGAAAAAGACAGAAAAGGAATATGAGTTTGACTGATGTAGGGATGAGGTGCATAGTACATAAAATAGGCGTAACGCAGAGAATCTTTCCATTGAATGGCACTCTTTCAATTAAAATTGTCTTTCTCTCTCTCTCTCTCTTTCTGTGACTTTCTCTCTCCTTTCCTCTCTCTAATCCCAAAATCATAGGCTCATCGCACCATTGAAATTCTGGCCATTATTGGGTCGCAAAAGCTAAAACCTTTTTGAGTTCTTATCATCTTCGCTGAATTCGCCAATCACAAAATAAAAGGAGGGTATCCAGGACGAATCTATTCGGAAAGTTCAAATCTTTGTGAAAAAGATGGGGGAAATCGAAGAAATTGGAGCTGATGTCTGGTATATCACAAGTTTTTGTTGTTTCCGGAACTTCAATTTAGCTGCATGTTTTTCTGTAATATGTTTTGTGATTTTCTCTTGTTAGTGTTCTAAGTTTTTTTTGTTGGTGGGTTTGTAATTTATGAATGTTATAGTTTTCTACGATACTCTTCTCCTTCTCCGTGAATTTCTATTGGCTTTTGTCAACCTTGGGTTGCGTTTATTTCGATTCATCCTATAGAAATTTCCAACTGATTGTATGTTTTCAATCTGCTATTGGGTGTAAGTTGTTAGCAACTGTACGATAATTCTACTAAGGAATCTGTCTTTTGGAAAGTGTATGCGAAGTCGTTGAGCACTTTATTGTTTCGTTATAATGGAAATAGTGTTTGTTTCCATGTCTTGTTTAGGGAGGGGAAAGAAATGAGATGAAATTTTGATTACAATTAATTAGTTAATCCTTGTACAAACAATAGAAAATGTTGTATTTTATTATGCTTTCTATGCTACAATGTATTTATTATACTCAAGTTCAGTTTTATGTGTCTGGAGACCAAGTTAGCCTAGTCTTTTCAAGATCAGAATTTGTACCCTTATAAGAGATTTTTGTTTAATTGAATGGAGAGTGTTCTGATTAATGGTGACACGTTGAACTGCAGTTCGGATATAGAAGTTGATGATATTAGATGCCCCAATATAGCAGAGAAAGATGTCAGTGATGAAGAGATTGAAGCAGAAGAATTGGAGCGGCGGATGTGGAAGGATCGAATTAAACTCAAAAGGCTGAAGGAAAAACAGAAGCTTGCAGCGCAGCAAGCTGCAGAAAAGCAAAAGCCAAGGCAGTCCAGCGATCAAGCTCGTAGGAAGAAAATGTCCAGAGCACAAGATGGGATTCTTAAGTATATGCTGAAGCTTATGGAAGTCTGCAAAGCTCGTGGGTTTGTGTATGGTATCATTCCTGAGAAGGGAAAGCCAGTCAGTGGTTCCTCTGATAACATTAGAGCTTGGTGGAAGGAGAAGGTAAAGTTTGATAAGAATGGCCCTGCAGCCATAACCAAGTATGAAGCAGAGTGTCTTGCTATGAGTGAGGCTGACAATAGTCGGAATGGTCATTCTCAGAGTATTCTCCAAGACTTGCAAGACGCAACGCTTGGATCACTCTTATCATCTTTGATGCAGCATTGTGATCCTCCTCAGAGGAAGTATCCATTGGAAAAGGGTATACCCCCACCTTGGTGGCCAACTGGGAATGAAGATTGGTGGACACAGTTGAATTTACCTCCTGGTCAGAGTCCTCCTTATAAGAAGCCTCATGATTTGAAGAAGATGTGGAAAGTGGGAGTCCTTACTGCTGTTATAAAGCACATGTCACCAAATATTGCAAAGATTAGGAGGCATGTTCGCCAGTCAAAATGCTTGCAGGACAAGATGACAGCAAAGGAAAGTGCAATTTGGTTGGGGGTATTGAGTCGAGAAGAGGCTCTCATTAGGCAGCCTAGTAGTGATAATGGTACATCTGGAATAACTGGAATGCCACCTGGCGTTCCTGCTAGGAATAAGCAAGGTGCTACTAGTAGTGATAGCAACTATGATGTGGATGGTACTGACGATGGCATTGGTTCTGTTTCTTCTAAAGAAGATAGGAGAAGTCAGTTTATGGATACCGAGCCATCAGATAACTCGCGTAGGGGTAGGAATTCTGTCCAAGATAAGAGGAAACCTACTCCAAAAAAACCCCGTTTGGAGTCGCAGGATGTTGACAAACCACCAGCACAATCTGACAATGAAATTTTACAAGTTGAGCCAAGAAGCAACAAGTTCAATATGAACCAGACGGAAGCACAGGTTGTTGGTGTTCAGATTCATGGAAATGAACAGTCCAATGAGACAAATTCTGCTGCAAGACCACTGGAAAAGGAACTTGAGGTGACCACTGCAAGACCACTGCACCTACTGGCACCTGACTTTGATGACTACTCTTATTTACATACAAACAACTTAATTCCCTCAGAAAGTGTGTATATGAGTGGAAGGTCAATGCACTATCCGGAGTTGCAAAACTCTGACATGCATCATGAAACCACTTATCTTTATAATCCCGCAGCAGGATATCAACCTGGTCAGGATGGGCAGCAGCTACAGTCCGGGAACAATGAACAAGTTAGGCCAGAGAATGATGCAGTTTCTATGCAGGCAGTGCATATGAAAGGGGATGAAATTAATGGAGGAGACTTGCCATTTTTTGGTAAAGATGCATTTCAAAATGATCTTGATAGACCTACTATGGATCACTCTTTCTTTGGATCACCACTTAGTGGCATGTCATTAGATTTTGGAGGACTTAGCAGTCCATTCCATTTAGATGATTTCTTGGGTGATGATGAAATGATACAGTACTTTGGGGCATAAATTATTGAAACTGCTAGCTCAGCAGAGATTGTAAGTGTTATTCTTCTTCTCTTGTATAATTCTGAGTCATTGTATGTTTCATGATCCATGACTTCTGTATTGTGTTTTGGTTCACCCTTTTACAGGAACTACAAAAATTCCAGCACCTGTTGCTTATCTGGGTTATGGTTCCCAGATTGGCACTAGAATTTGTGGCGTTTGGGGTTGAAAGATATAAATTAACATCGTTAACAAGTCCTAAGTACAGAACTACAAGAACTGAAGCATGAATTCCGTTATATTGATTACCCATTTTCATATGTTTAGGGGTTGCATGTGAACTTTTAAATTGTTGGAATCACTGAACTGCACATACTAATGTTTAGCCAAATACATGGAATAGGGTTGCCTCCAAATTTAATAAATTATCATTGTTTCCATGCTCTCTTCTTTGCTGTGTGTAGGTCAATGTTATATACAAATTGCAACAGTATGTAATTGTTTCCGAGACTGTTTGATGCATCCCCTTTGCATTACATTTACATGTTGGCCTAATAATGTAGTACTGTACTATGTAACAATTGTGTTCTTGTCCGTATTAGGAATTTAAAATATGATACGTAAGTCACTATATTATTAAATGAAGAGGTCATCATAGTGATGAGTGTCATTGGAGCGTAGTGCTCAACTACGAACTATAGAATCAATGAATGCGCTCAACGCTCGGACAACTTAAGCGGTCATTATCATGTTGTATTATTTTCATTTATTCATTGTCATTTTTCACACGACGATGATGAATTAGGATTCTTCGTTTATTTTAAAAAAAAAATTATAGATTCTTTCCTTCCCCTATCCTTAACCCCACTAAAGAATATTATTATTGAGTGTTGTTAAGACCTTGTTTGAACATAATATCTTTGGAATCTCCCTCATACCCTCGGACACTTAACACAAGATTTTGGTTTTATTCTCTACCATTTAAATTCTAAATAAATTAAGGTTAACCTCTTTTCGTGATTGTGGAAAACGGGAGCAGACGAAAGGATAAGATTTGAAGACTGTAGCCTCTTATCTCATAGCCCAAGTAAAATAAAAAATGCCTTTTCGTCTCTTTATGCCTTCAGAATGAAGAGCTTAGATTTACCCAAGCTATTTGTTATTTAAATATCGGTACTGACGGTACATCATAATACAAATTATATATCCGTAGCATGTCCGATTTTAATTTTTTAATGAAACAAACCTATCACATTAGTGTGCTAAGTTTTTATTTATAGATGACTGAATTCTACTTTTGGTTTTTCTAATTTTATTACTATTTATTTTTATAACTATTAACTATTTTCAGAAAAAGTTTGTTTACACCAATATTTTTATACTAAAATTTTCTTCTACGTCAACATTTCAAAATTTTTAATCCAACTTTTGAGTACTTTCAAATTTTTATTTTTATATTGAAACATCTATCATCTCATATTAACTATCTATACTTAAAAAAGGTTTTTAAATTTGCTCATATCTCCTTAATTCTAAGCTATTTATTTTTTTCTACTCAACAAAAATATATCCATAAGATATTGTGAATAAAAGAAAACTCTGAATTTATTTTTTTGATCAGTTAACAGAAAATTCTTAAAATTGATTGCACGTCATGCTATTCATCAACATCCTTTGATCCCAAATTCTAGCTAAATATTATCAACTCAATTTTTATTTAGAACATTTTAATTTATTTGATGGTGTTATCACTACTTTTTCGACGTAATTACTTTTTTAGTTTTATTCCAATTTATTTCCAACGTTATCACTTATTTATGTCATCCTTCAGTGAGAAAATATTAGTAATTCGTATTATATAATTAAGGGGGATAATTTTTTATATTTCAATTCAAAAGTGATTTAATAAAATTCAGAGATAAGTCAAAATGCTTTCTTTAAAGCTCTTCTAATTATTTGTGTACAACTAAAAAAATCATTCAAGTTATCCGAACAAAATTATTTTATGGATGGTGAATTGAATCTAGACCTACGCTTAAACTCCAAGTCACCTTTCTACATATTATCTACACTGTTGCGTGATTAATTTATTTTCTTTTCGAAATACATCGTCGTACATAAGGTGAGTCAGGTGAAATTTTTAGTTATGCTTCAACCCTATTTACTAAAACAAAAAACTAATTAGATAACAAACAGGGAAAATTACCACTAATTCGATACGGTTTGATCTCAATACAGTTTGTGCTTCTTAGTTCACAAAAGAAAGAAAATTGCTCGTTTGTACGAAAACATGACAAAAATGTTCTATATGCAAACCTGCCAGATTCATGATACGATGAGACATTTCTTCGTACTATTTAACACTGATGTCAAAAAAAGAACATGAAAATTATTCTTTTCTTCGTGCAGAAAGTTAAAAATAAAATAAAATAAAGATTTAATACCTCCAAAGTCCTAACAAAATTGAGACTACCATAAAAATAAAAATAAAAATAAAAATAAAAAACTGTTAAAAGAAAACAAAATAAAATGTCCACCCAGCCAAACACATCATTATCACCTCTCTTTCCTAATATCGAGAAACATGAACAAAGGGAAGGCCAAAATATTATTATTTAATAAAAATTCTGCCTTGAAAATCGGGGAAACAGAGTCACTGTAATTTCCAATCCCCCGCGCCCTAAATAACGTGAACAAGTTAAAACGCAATTCTCATTGTTGTACGGAAAACATGATGCTTTGGAGTTGAACATAATGAATAAAATACAATGACGCGGTGAAGACGAGGTTGTAAAAACTAGACAAGGTCACACTCCTTGGGAATACATAACAAGTTTCCTGTGGACAGTTTCTGCTTTGTGCATTACGAACCCAACAAACTTGCCGTGGATGTGACAATGGTTAAGAGCGCAGTGCTAATACCAAAAATATATTGTCTTCGAATATTGTTTTTCCATAAGGTAAACACAGTGTGTACTGGCAGTCCTGCATCATAAATACGAAATAAGAAATTATTTAATGTATTTTAAAAGAATTTCGTAAGCAAGGATGAATTATTTGACAGTCATCAAATTCTTTTCTGCATTCGACCTGCCTAAATCAGCATCTTAAATTTTTGAAGTCTTTAACCAACTAATTAAAACATCAAGATTACCTGCAATCCAAGGAATCTGCAGCCGTCTCTTTCTCAGTCTTCTCATTACAATTAGAATGCAGCCTTCTTTTTCTCAGTCTGCCTATATTTCACAGTATTATACAACACAATTTACAGACCAAACTTCTTTGGTCTCAAGAATGTGGAAGAACCCTTTCGTAAACCTGGCATAGAGATTTGCTGCTGATGCTTAGCCCTCTTTTCCTTCTCCTTTTGTTTCCTTTCTCTCTCAACCTCTGCTTGCACCTTCTTCAAGTTCTCCATCTCTTCCTCCATGGCTGTTTTCTCTTGTTTTTGTCTCTTCTTATGCTCCAGTAATGATGTATCAGACTCCTTAACAGAGAAAAACATGGGTCCCAGTTCGGCCAGCCACTGAGGCTCCACTGCTGTGGCACACTGCATGTACTCCTTTGTGGTCAGGATTAACTCGTGATAAACCACATATTCAGGAGTACAGCCCATACCATAGAGAGCACTACTGGGATGAAGATGGCATGGCATCCCATTCCGGCAGTTAACATACTCCCCCACACCCTTTAATCTTGCTGCATTGTGGAAGTATGCAGAACAAATTGCTTTTCTCACAATGTCAGTATCAGGCCAACATGACGTTAAGGGAATCTTTAAAGTCTTCAGAATATCAAGCAGCTGGGATCTCACCTCTCTAGCCTTTCTTAGACCTTTCACATGCAAAAAATGATCATTGCACCAATCACCTCTGTAATCGTGCTGTTTCCATTGCTGATAAACATTGTACAAGGTCAAATGATCAGACTCTGGCACAAAAAATCTTTCCCGTGCAGCATCACTCTCCTCCGCCCGATCCTTGGGTCTAAAGAAAACAGATGGCACTGACAGCATGGAAACAATTGTCAAAACCTCCTCAAGACACCCTAACTGTTCACCCGTCAAAAGCATCTTGGCAAGTGGAGGGTCCAGCGGAAATTCAACCATTTTCCACCCAAGTTCAGTTAATCCCCCCACATTGTTAAGGGCACCCAACACCCATAACTGATACATTGAATTGAGAATATTATCTTGAGGAGGTGGATCCATGAAATCAAAATCAAGTAAATTTTCAACTTTAAGAGATTTCAGCAACAAGACCACATTGCCAAGGTTAGTCCTCTGAATCTCTGGAACAGGACTGGGCAACATTTCATTTAGGTAAGCGCTCTCAGTATACAACCGATAGCAGGTACCAGGGCCAGTTCTACCAGCTCGACCAGCGCGCTGGTCAGCAGCAGCACGACTAACAGGGAAGACTTGGAGAGCATCCATGCCCATCCTAGGGTTATAAACCTTCATTTTACCATACCCTGTGTCTATGACATAGTAGATACCATCAACAGTTAACGATGTCTCAGCAATGTTAGTGGCCACAATGCATTTACGGGCTCCATCTTCAGCTTTCTGAAATATCTTAGCTTGCAAGCCAGCAGGAAGCTGAGAGTATATGGGAAGAATCAAAAGTTTAGGGACAGCTTTCTTTGAAGATGACACCATCTGCTCCATTCTTTCAGCAAGGGCATAGCAAGCTGCCTCGATCTCATCTTGGCCAGTCATGAAGATAAGGATGTCACCAGGAGGACTGGTTATGTGAATAGTCATAGCCTGCTTCACTGCACCTTCGACATAATCTTCAACTGGAGTTTTACTCCATAATATATTCACAGGAAATGTTCGCCCAGGAATATGAAAAATTGGTACACTGTAAGGAAGCCCAAATCAGGTTGAATCAAACAAAAGTTAATAACATGAAACAATGCTAGATGATGAACTGAATTTACCTTCCAAAGAAATTTGAAAATTTCTGTGCATTCAGAGTTGCTGATGTGACGATCAGCTTGAAATCACGACGTTGGGCTACAACTTTCTTTAAAATTCCAAAAAGAACATCTGTGTTCAATGATCTTTCATGGGCTTCATCCATGACAATAATCCTGAAACAGTTTCAAACCAGATGATTGGTAACATTTTTTTTTGCAAAAAAAAAAAAAAAAACAGGGAAAATGGGGGGGGCAAAAGTTGTTAAAAAATCCATACCGATACTTGTCAAGATCAGAGTCTTTGAGTGTTTCACGTAGAAGTACACCATCAGTCATGTACTGTAAAATTTAACCACTAAAGTTTATGATTAACGTGTCCATAATCCACATAATTATAGTATATCTCACATCATGTATGCACTTAATATAAATATATACAATGAAAATAAATCACAATTAATAGCAGACTATGCAAGTAACATGAAGCAGAATAACTGATTCTAATGCTATAAACACAAGTTAGGATCACCTTTATAATGGTATTTGGCCCAGTCACATCCTCAAAACGTATAGCATAGCCAACTTTATCACCCAACTCTGTATCCATCTCCTCGCTGACTCTCTTGGCAACACTCATAGCTGCCACACGCCTTGGTTGGGTGCAGCCTACTATACCACCTATAGTATAGCCATCCTCATGCAGATACTGTTCAGAAATGAGAAACCCAAATGTCAAATTACATTTTAATGAATATAGATATCTATATCAGATTCTTTTGCTTCATTGGATAAACATCAACTAACAACACAAGACACAGGCATGGAAAAGGATAATAAAACCTGTGTCAACTGTGTTGTCTTTCCTGAACCAGTTTCTCCAACCACCACCACCACCTGATTTTCACGAACCACCTACACATCATATATCAAGAAAATTATTATAATAACATCCATGTGTCAACCGCCAAGACTGACAATTTGAAACAGAAAATCAGAGTGAAACGATATAACTGAGAGTACGACAAAGTCAAATCAAAATATTGATAAAATGAGAGAAATTCAAACAAATAGATAAAAATGTGAAATTACAAGATGCAAACATGGTTGTCAAAATCGAGTATTAACTCCTAAAAACTATCAAGTTTACGAGTTCAGGGACCCGACCTGTTTATCTTGGTTACAAACTTGTTTTGGAGTGAAATCATGCAAACTCAACCAAGCTCGAGTGGAATCGGACATAATTGTAAGTTTAGACGTAATCCAACCGGTCAATGTTGGTAGCTAAAAAGCCCCCAAAACAACCAAAAATAATGGGCATTAACAAGTGCAATCTGCAGATTTCTCTCACGATCTTCAGTTCTAAACCCAAAACACGGAGGCTCTCGTCGAGTGTAGTCTTTGTTGTGGTTCCAGGGTCGTTCAATTCCAAGGTTTCTCGTCATGTTGTCTGTCGTGGTTCCAGGGTTCTTGTGGTTACAGTTTGTTGAAATTTCCCTACTCTGTATTTCTTTTTCTTTTTCTCTTTACTGAAGCCTGATGGTGCATATTTGTTAGATATTTGAAGGTTCTCTTCTTCACGTCCCATGTTTTTTATTCAATTTCAAAATACACTTACACAGTAGTTCATATTATTAGATGGTGACCTTGAACTTGGAGATAATATTATTAGAGGATTAGACATGCAGATTGGAAGACATTACTCTTTTTTAAGTTTTTTAAATGCTGTCATTTTAAGAATTTGAGTTATGTATAAATTTTTAATGCACTACTAAACTTTCCTACCTTATTATTTTAATTTGCTAATTTACTTTAATATGGAGTTGAACTATCGAGTTATTATGTTATTTATAGGTATTTTAATATAATTTTTTATATTAAGTAAACTCTTACAAATATATGAATTGAGTTTATGAAGTCTCCACGAGTTTACATAAACTCTCCAATTTGACAACCTTGTATGCAAATGTGTAACTAATAGGAGAAAAGAAGGAAAAGGAACTCGGTTATGTGGCATATCAAAATCATATAATGAAAAATATAGTTTTATATCCAACTCCATAACCAACAATCAAGAAAATAAAAGGAAAAATATTAATTTGACATGCTCAATCCTAGCCCACCTCCACATGATAAACAGATGGATTAGATTAAAACTATAGGTCTTAATACAAAGATAATCATTGCCCTAATTTTGAACATTTAGATCGATTGATTGATCATTAATTACTTCAACCTGTGAGGTTGACTTCCCACAGATTCTTTACATTTTAACCAAAAATAGCCCTATCAACAATTGCTGCATATATAGCCAAAGGAAAAAAAAATATATGTATATACCTGTAATAACTCTTCTCTCACTGAAAAGATGGGCAGATATTGCCTTTGCTCTGCAATGCTTTTTGACTTAGCAAAGTCACTTACGGCTTCTCCCTTCTTCAAATGCTGCGAAAACTTGGCTTCCTCCTTAAAATCAATTTCACCATCTTCACCCACTACAGCGGTGTCTGCATCAATCTAGCATTTGCAAAAATTTTAAATATGAAGAAGTCTTCAAATTTCAAACCATGAAAAGAGAAAGCAAAGGACACAATTACTCCAGATTCTTCAAAGAATACCTGCTCTGCTGATTTTTCAACACCTAAGATATCACCAAGTTTTGAGCCTGCAAGTTCCCAAAAGCGTTGACGAGACTTGTTCGAACTCTGCTTCTCATGGATTTCTCTGACAAGAGTAGATCCTTTACGAGATATTATAGCCATGTCAGATGTTGGATCTTTTAATGGCATAATTGGCTCTGCCTGCTTAGTAAAAACAACTCTGCCATCAAGGAAAGGAGGCTTTGTATCTGTGGCCAACAAGGAAAAACTAATTAGTCAAAAATGAAAAGTGATACAATGCAAAGGAGGCTTTGTATCTGCCAGATGAATATTTACCATGAACAAGAAGAATAACTCTCTGTTCTTCCTCATCATCAAATTCAGTCTGAACCTCTGTACCTCTAACAGCTCCAGATCTCAACAGTTGCCGATCCTCCCATTGAGCATTATCAGCTGTGAGCTGAGACAACTTTTTGCTCTGAGCAAGGGACATCTTGGTCCCATCTCTTCGGACCTGAATTATTGATAAAAACACTTGTAAGATAATAAGCTCATATCAACTTGCCGTAAACAGCATGAACCAATAAATTAAACACTTCATAAATAAGCAAAATTAAGGATATTGCACCATATGCAACAATTACAGCATGTTGCAAATACTGCCCCTAAAACACAGTCCAGTGATATTGTATGAATAGCTGATTTTTGTCGGCCAATCTCAAAACTTAGCCCTTTCAAAGTTCCCAAAAATACAAGTTATTATTAACCAGGAAGGTATCATAATCCTTTAAGACACATGTCATCACATGATCAAGATAATTAACAACCTGAACATATGAGAACAAATAAACATGTAAATGGTAAATCGCAGACTACCTTCATGAAACATCATTGGACATTGGGATAAAAAACTGTCCCATTACCCTGTCCCCTCAATTAGAAATTGCTATATCAATTAAAGAGTCCTCTAACAAAGGATTAACAGAATTAATGGGCCATTCTCCATTCCACGTTCCTTAAACATGCATTCTTTTTGAGCATTCTTCACCGAAACAAGTTCTCCCTGGTGTAGAGGATAGTTGGCAAGTACGGTTGCCCAACTGAAATCTTAATTTTGAAATTTGTGAGCCTGAGGCTGGCAATCTCTAAGCTACCACAATGCTTCAGAATTGAAGCCCTTCCTTTTATCTGCCCCTCAAATCTAAGCTCCTCTTACCTTAAAGTCGATGATCACGAATTTGATGTTTCAAGTAATGCTACTCTATCTGAATTTGATTATACCTCACAAGAAGGGTGTTTTGAATTTATTAGAGTGTAAAATGAAAAATATTACCTTTTCATTATGTTATTTTTCTCTGTTATAACAGAATATTCTAGGTTTGTTGTGCCAGCTGTCACAGTTTGTTATTTTTGTAATCAGCTTTTTACAGCTGTACTAATAAGGGTAGCTACTAGCTACTATAAATGCTCCCTCTGTATTCTGTTTTCAGTGGGTTGAATGAAATGAAAAACTCCATTTACAGTTTAACATTTTCTCTCTGAAATTATCTAAGAGAAGTTGATGAGTGTGTGCAACTACCACCCAGGCATGATACACCTTTGCAGGTTATTCCATTTGCCCATTTGTCCAACCTTTGTGTTGAGTGTTGCGAAGTGCAAGGGAAACTTTGTCGGTGCAACCAGAATTAAGATGATGTTCATGAACTCGTTACATCTTAGCCAATCATTGGTTGCAAACAGTTGTCACATTTTCAGTGATAATGTCAAGGAATTGATTGTTAATGATCATGGTCTGGACCAAGTTCTTGAAATCAGGGTACTGGTACAGATGTTCTGATACCATATTAACAATAGAATTTACAAAATGAGTAATTTGGCTTGGCAAGAGTGGTATTGAATGAATTGGAGAAGGAACCATGTGTAGATGCCAAGGATGGGATCGCTGTCAAGTTGGTTGAGACTGATACCATAATGCAAAGAAAGTTGGCAGAAGGAACTTCAGTTGTGGTTGGTGACACCAGCTTATGGAAGTCTAGTGAGGAGGTTTATAACAAAAGCATAATGCAGGAGCAGAATGAGTATTAATGATCTACAAGAACACAACTCCCAAGTACACTGCATGACAGGTGACATACATTAACTCTTAATCTTCCATTAAACCTAATGAAAAAGTGACATGGACTCTTTAAGTGATGTGGCAATTTCTAAGGGGCAAGGAAATGGGGCAGAAAACTTTTGTCCCAGGATTGGATACAATTATAACAAATTTCCATTTGCTTAGTGTATACCATAGTTCAAATACCATTCATCTAAAATCCACCCAAGATAGTAGATTAAAACATAAAATATATCTATCTAGCTCACCACACCACAACAAACATAATAATAACTTTTATAAACATCAATCTTCAGCTAGATGAGATCTAAGTAAACATAACTAAATTAAATAATTACAATAAAGAAATTTTCCATGCTACCATCTACAAAATACAAAACATAAGGTGCAGAACTTTTTCTCATGCAAGCTTTTCAATTTTATCAGATCTCCTTATGGCCAGTACAGGAAAAGATAATTTAAAGGTTTACAAATTCTAAAAGTTACCAGTCTTTTGGCCAACTCAGCCTCTTTTTTCTGAAAGGAAGCTTCATCTCCAAGAAAGAGTGACGAGTTATCACCATCAAACATTGTGCTACCTTCCTCTCTATCATACCTTCATGATAATAATTGTAATTACATTAACTACAATAAATGTAAAAACCAAATTTGTAAATCAAACAATATAATGTGAAGTCTAAAAGAATCATCTACAACTTTAGCTCTATCACCACTAAGATAAGGTAAAACTTGCATTATGAGTCAAAATTCGGATCTATATATCAAAGAAGAAACACTTCAGACAATTTAAGCCTATAAACACTTACCATAAAAGACAAGCCCAACACAGGAAACAGTGTATTGTACCAATATATCATTATTAATTAAGCACTATGATCTCTCTTTCCCAAAAGATTCATCTATGATAACACTACATATTTCAAATTCAGTAATTTAAAACAATATCAGCAAAAAATATTTTCCAAACTAGATTTAGATACCATGCTCGATCAGCATCATATTCCATCTCCAAACGCATGCTTTCAGTAATTTCATACTGGTGTTCTTCACCCAAGTCAGACTTATCTGCCACTTCATCCTGGACACATGAAATTAATAATTATATAAGTTGATGATATAGCATTATAGCATGCATATTGAAACTCGAAAGTAGTCATAATAATTGTAGTGTGAAAGAAGAAAACCACACATGTTCAGAACTTTGATTAAAAATTATTCATTTTCATTTTTCAGCATTTATAATGAATTATCAAATACACAAGGGAACTATCAGACATTAGATGCAAAATATATACCTCATACGTATTTGAAGTTTGGGAAGAAAAAGTAAGTTGATGAGACCTTCCATTATGTCTGGCAACAGAAGATAATGGAAGTTTATGTACCACTGAGTGGGTTCTCCCTGCTTGACCGCATGGTCCCATGGAGAAGGTGAAGTAACTACATTCAATTCAACAATATAACATAATTATTTCTCAAAGACTTCCATCATCAAATTCAATTATAGGAATTAAAAAAATCAAAATGTTGGCAATAACAAAAACAATAACATATTTGGAATAACATACAAGATGAATTAGGTGTGTTGCCCCCCAACCATGGCGAAACTAATCGTGCATCAGGTGAGGCACCTAAAAACATTGGGGATGGTGAAGGTTGATGACGTCTAGAACTAGAAACACTTTCTCTTCGTGGAGTATCTCCCCATTCCCATCGTCCATCGTCCCAATCAGACCTGCCTGCATATACAAAAATTGGTAATTCCTGGATCATAAGAATAGCTGGTTTTCCCAATGCAGAGGTTAATTGCAAAATTATATTTTTAATATAATAATATATTAAATGTCAATTCTATATAATTGGAAAAACACAGCAAAAGGTTTATAGTATTTCAAGTAAAGATAAATCCATGACATTCCCTAGCATCTATACTTGGATTAATTCCATAAAAATTACAAGAAACAGAAAATTAACAATTATATACCAGGTGTTCTCCTGGAACCTTCATATCTGTCCCGCTTTCTACCATATTCACTTATACTATGTTCACGGTCATACCTACTATGTGAATCCCTTTCTGAATAAGATTTTTTACTCTCATAGTAGTTCCGTTGACGCACTCTTCCACTATCACTTCTTGAATCATCCCTGCGATGCCTCCTCTCACTCCTATGATCTTCCCTGTCATATCCAGATGGAGAAGCAGGAACCTTCAAAATTGATATATCAAAATTAGATATATGCAGCAAACTTTAAAATTAATGACAATTTTATTAATGAAAATTCCTAAATGTAAAAAGGAAATTTCAGCAATGAAAATATTGAACATTTATTAATAGCACAGATTGATAAAAGCAAATTTTGACAATTTCTATAAAAACTAAATTGTATTCCCATGTTCTTCATATCATTTCAGGAAAAACAAAAGGCAACAGACACTTAAAAGTAACACAATAATCTAAAGAAAAAGTTCTTTAGATTCTTCCTTTCCCTCATCTTGCCAATCCTTTTGGCAGGTAAACAAGTTTGGATTTTGTTTCACAAATAAATTATTTCCCTAGGATAGCATAATGACACTTTAAATGTTGTTTCTAAAGCAATTAATGAAACCATTAAAAATGAAAGGAAATAAAAAGTAAAGAGAAATAATCTTACATCTGAACCCATATGTTGTTCAGTAGAACGAGTCCTGTTGGTTTCTCTTCCTCCATAGTGATCTTCACTTAAAGAACTTTCTGTGTAAACAAAGTCACAACACCTTCAGATGTTATTATTTACTTTTTCTTGGGGAAAAAAATAATACCAAATTCCATCATACAACAAAAAGTATATATATATATATATATATATATATATACCCCCAATATCACATTGCTCTCTCATTTTACAGATCCAAAAAGCTTGATATCTACCATTTTATTTAAGTTTTGCAACATGTGCTTCTCATAACAAGTTTTATTACATACATATTGATATTTGATTAACATAAAATAAATATACATGAACCCAATTGGCAGCAACATCTATACAAGAGGAAATAAATACCTGCATGTGATGTTTCACTGGTCGCTTCACGGTATCTCCGATTAGTGTGCCTGCGTGCAGTGACAGTCCTATCATGCCCACTTTCTTCAACAACTGATGACTCGGACCTATCTTCATCTTCTGCAGATGCTGCAATGGAAGTGGTTCTCTCTTTTGGCACCTTGAATCCCCCATCATTTTGAGACTCTGCTCGTTTTGCGATGGCAAGGGTATCAAGTCCTATTAAATCATTTGTCAAAATAAACAACGAACAGCATCAGCATTCAGCACCTAAGAATGTAAAACACAAGACCTAAGATACTGATAATCAATAGAATTAAAACAAAACAAAAATACCTAAACGAGATTTTCTCTCTGGAGGGACGTAAACCACCCTATCCTTGCCAGGAACATAGAGTCCACCACCAGTAGGCTTTTCCGGTTCCAACGTCATCGTGGTCTTGTCTATGTCAATCGCTCCCGCACCAGCTCTATCTTTCTACTCACAAACAACAACAACAACAACAAGGAGAACCAATTAAACCGAAATTCGAAACCGTTTAGCGTGTTGAGCAAGAGAACATATACGATACTGACCTCCATGATGTGATGCAACTGCAAATTTTGTCACGAATTAACAGAGCAAAATCTTTGAAGATTGAGTACGAAAATTGGAGCGAAACTAAGCGACGTCCAAAAACCCTAATCCAAACACGCAGGCTAGAAATCCCAGATTGAAGTACTAGCAAGTATAATTTCTAATTAGGTATCCCGTTCCTATATCCTGGATGGAATTCATACCTAAGTTAAACACTCGATCGCCGTCGCATAGATAGCTGAACGTCGTCGTTTCGGAGCAAGCGGAGAATAGAAGTGTATTAGTGGGATTTGAATCGGACTAGGACGCACCGCAGAGCTTCGTTGGAGTTGACACTGCAATCCGGTTCGCAGCGAGTGCCCTCTGCGGTTCTGAGCGAAGGTTTGGGAGTTATGCAGAGAGAAAGAAGAGAGGGGTGAAAGGTGTGACGGTGTAACGAAACGAAATGCGATTTGCTAGGTACAATGGGTCGGAACGCGCCGCCGCGGCTAATTTTCGTTTTTCGTTTAAATAATTAAATATATTTTTAAAATTGAGAGAAGAAAAATATAAATATAAATGATGATAATTAAGAGACATAATATATAATTTATTTATAATCTATAACATAACAGCACATAATGAAAATAAACTCTTGTGATCTTCATTTTCTTGAACATTTTTATTTATCAACTACACGAGATTACTTATTCCCTTTCTTCGTAATTTCGTATATCACTTTTATTTTGTTTTGTTTTATTTTATTTTAAATATATATTCCATTATGTCATCCTACCATATTAGTTCATTAAATTAATAGAAATGTAAAATAATTTTTTTAAAATGACATTATTTAAAAAATTAAATAATAATATTAACATGTTTTAAGTTTCAAAAAAAAGTATGTTTATGAATTAAAATAATAATAAGTAATTAAATTTAAAAACTTATTTAACATTTCATAATTCTATTTTATATTTTTCTAAATTCATTGACTATTGTCATGGTCTCTTCCAATTTTATAAATTAAAGCGATTACTTACTCATCAAAATTAAATTTTAATGGGACTACCATGGAGACACAACATCACCATTTTAAATATATAAAATGTTTAGTAACATTAATCATTAAAATAACTAACAATTGTAAAATGGAGATGTTAGAAGATATTTCAAATTAATTACTAAAGATAATATATAGGGAAAAATAGCTTATAAACTAATTTATTTACATAAGATAAACATCACTTAATTAAAATAACTTATAAAAATAAGTTAAAAGTTACTCAAATAAGCTTGTATGTTAAATAAGGTTTTTTTTTATAAAATTAACCTATAAACCAGCTAATAAACAATTAGAACAATTAAGATGACTAACCAAAATTTTTTTAACTTTTCTTGCCTCAGATATCGGTCAACTTCAGAAAGATATGGATAAAGTAAAAACGAATTAAAAAAAAAAAAAAACCTATATTTATAGAAAGGAAAGTTAAAAAATTAACTATCATAGTTATAAATATAATCAATATTACTTTCTGTCTTCTTATAATAATTAATATATGATTTTAATCTTTTAATTTTCTAAAATTTATATTTTTTTATATTTAAATGTTTATTTGGTGATGGTTAAAACTTTAACGTAAAACTGAGATTAAGAAGAAAAAAAATCATAAAACGTTTAGTAACTGCCCCTAAAAAGAAAAAATAAATTGTTTTTTTTTATATTTTGGTTGTAATAATTCGATTCTCTTTGCTTAATATTTCAATAAGATATTTTATTTGTAAAATTATTTGAGTAATTGATTTATTAAACATATATTTATTACAAAATAGAATTATTTTTTTCAATAAAATATTCTCTAATCCTCACGCCGGTAATGTGTATTTGATAATTTCCTTGCTGATGGTTATTGCTATTGCCTCAATTTTAACTATAGTCAGATCTAGAACCATTTGCAAATTTGCAGATGATAATTGGCTTCGTAGATAAGGAAATTTAACTTTTCTCCTTTCCTGCACCTGTACTCTCCTCAAATTTTTGTCCTAGTCAGATAGTAGCAGCCAAGTGGTTTTCGCTCACTTGAACATTTTATCATAACAGATCCCTTCTCAGATCTTTACTAGAGTGGATTAGTTTTGGCAAAAATGTTGCTTCAGCAAATCCAGAACCTATTCTTCACTTGACACAATTAGTATCTAGAAATATAAAGAAATGAATAGTGATAGTGTTCACTATTCGCGTTATATGCAACTAAGTCAAGCCTACTAGCATTCTAGCAAATTGGTTGCTTCCTAATGTTGTGTCTTTCGATCATTTTTTTTTATGAGCAATGCTTCATCCTCCGAAAATTATCTCCGAATCACATTTCGAAATAATAAAATATTAATATTTTATAATAAATTTATTTATATCTTATTATATGCATGATGGAGATAAATTAGTTTATGATCGATTTTTATCTTCACTTTTATTTTTGATGATTTTATATTTAAATCTTTAAATAATAAAAAAATGATTTTGAAAGTTATTTCTATTTTAACCACTCAATAAGTTAATTATTCAAATCTTCAAATTATTAACCACTCATTTTATTACTTAATCTTATATATTTTATTTATTTATTTATTTGTTTTTTTTAATATTTATACTTCTATATTTCTATAACTATTATTAATGATAATTAACTAAAATGTTTAGCATTTGAATATTGATCTTAGGTATGACGTAAAACTGGAAACCAAGAGTGAACTTTTAAAATAATTTTTTCTCCAAATATCTAAGTTAATTAATTAATACGAAAGTTGTTGCCTTTGGCACATGCCAAGACCTCTAAAAAGAATGAGAGTCGTAGCACAACAGCATTAACAATTTGAAACTTAGGAATCATTTGGTAAGTTGGTAGCACAGCACCGTAGCATGAACATAACTATGTTGGCACTTGTTGCGATTAGAATACCACAGACAAACACATGGAGTAGCGACAAAAACATTTGCAGCTTTGTTGCATGCAGAAGCCAAAGGATTTATTAATAATGGTCACAAGCTGAGTAAAACTCCAGTTCTGAATGTTCAACCGATCTATACAACACAACCACACACACGTGACCAACACTCAATGGCTACAAAATGAAAAACAGAGTTTTTCAGGACATAGCAGCAGATAAAACCTCATCCAAAGCCCTAACAGAAGACCCTTTAACCCCATCTTCATTCTTGACAGCATTCCTTATAACATCTCTTATCTCAGAAGCTTTCTCCCTAATCCTCACCCCTTCCTGAGTCTCCGCCATCACCAACTCAATCTTCTCCACAATGTCCTCACATCGCACCTCACAGCTCTTCCCTCTGGCAACCTCCACGCAAACCCCAACCTCCTCCTCCAACATCTTGCAGTTATAAAACTGCTCCGCCGCCATGGGCCACCCCAGAATCGGCACCCCCTGACTCAGCGATTCCAGCACCGAGTTCCACCCGCAGTGACTCAGAAACGCGGAAACCGCCGCATGCGACAGAATCTCGACCTGAGGCGCCCAATCGTGAACCACCAAACCCTTTCCCGATGCCCCAAGCCTCTCCACAAAGCCTGGCGGCAACCACTCCGAGTCTCTGAAGTCGGAGTTTATGTCAAACCCAATCGGAGGCCTCACCACCCAAATGAAACTCCTCCCACACCGCTCCAACGCTTTCGCCAACTCCATCATCTGCGAAGCAGATAAAGTATTCATCGATCCAAAGCACACAAACAAAACCGATTTAGAGGGTTTCCGGTTCAGCCATTGGTTACATAAATCAGGGTTTATCCCGCCGCCTTTCCCGCGAGAATTAGCTCCGGTGGATAACAGGATCGGGCCGACAGCCCAAGCGGGCCGGCCCAGTTTCTGCCTGAAGTAGTTAAGGCCAACCGAGTCGAGGGACTCCACCGTGTTGAATATAACCCCGTCGGAATCGACCCAGAAGGAAAAATTGTATCTTTGGAAGATTGACCAGGCGTCGGTGCCATCTGCTTCGGAAATGTTGGTGGGTAACTGCGTGCGGTGTATCTTACGCGCTTGGGGGAAATCGGGGAGGGCGAATTCGTCGGCGCGTGAGGTCTGGTGGGGGAGGTTGAGCCAGAGGGAGTGGTAACAGGCGAGGCCGTAGGCGCCGCAGCCGCTGAAGATGACGTGGAAGGCGGCGAGGTCCTTGGCGACGGCGGCGGTCCAGCCGAAGAAGATGTCGGCGATGATGCAAAGTTTGGATTTATGGGAGAAGGTGTTTCGGAGGAGGGTTTTGAAGGGGGTGATGAGGGTGGTGGAGGCTTGGATGAGGCGAATGACGAGGTGGTAGGGGATGGTGTCGGTGTTTTGGGTGTTGGGGGGGAGGTTGTGGTCGGAGGGGTTGAAGGGGATGGTGAGGAGGGTGATGGAGGAGTTTGGTGGGAGAGAGGATTTGAGTTTTGTGATGTTGAGGGAGGTGTTGACTATGGTGATGGAGTAGTTTCTTGTTTGTTCTAGTTGGAGGGCTAGGGCTAGGAAGGGGATTATGTGCCCTTGGGCCATGAATGGGAATAGCACTATCTCTTTTTTTCCTTCCCTTTCCGCCATTGATGCTCAACGCAGACACAATTGGCTTTCCAATTTCAATGACCAAGACTCGAGCGTTTTTATGGAAGTTTTTCCTTTTTTCCTTAAATCCATTTTGGTCCCTACATGGCTACATTTATTTTATTTCCTTTTTTTTTTATATTATTGTTAGGTAAAATTAATTCTCTCAAAACCCCCATTTGACTATAAACGACAAAAAAAGAAGGAGTAACTTTTGGATTTGACTGAGAATTTATACTGAATTTTTTAAGGTAAACTTATTCTCAACTAAAATCATTTAACTTTGTAAATCAAATTTTAACTAAAAATTAAAATTCATTCAAAAATCAATTTTCCAAACATTAATTGATTTATTAAATATATATTTGTTAGTAAGAATAAAATAAACCACTTTCTTAATATTTTTATATACAAAAATTATAATGATAATATCAAAACTTTAAAATTAAAATTAGGTATATATTATTCTAATTTGACGATCCTCTCATCAACGAACTCTATTGGTCTTTGTAATTTAATAATTACATTATAATTTGAAATAAATAACTCCTTTCAATGTATAAATGTTTAAAAAATGCATCTAACTTCTATTTAATCATATTCTTATTTACTTTTATAAGTTGAAGTGTTTTGGAAGAGTTATGTATTAGTCTAAAAAATATATAACTGGTTTATGTAAAAAATATATATAATTACTTATCATGTTATATTATTTACTTTGTCATTTGATGAAAGAAATTTTTATTTATTTTAAGTTAAATTATACTTTTAATTCTTTTATAATATAAAAATTATAGTTTTGATCTCTTAATTTAAATTTTAAAAACTGAATTTCCTCATTCAATATTCATTAATTGATTGTTAAAGTTATAGCATTAATGATGATATAATATTAAATAGATGATATAACTATTGATATTTAATAATACTTAGGTTAAAACTGTACTTTTAATTATTATTTTTATCCATTTATTATTTTATGAGATAAATATGAAAATTAAAAATAAAATTTAATCTAAATATTATTAAATTCTAATTATTATATCATCAATGTTATATTATTATTAATGTTATAATTTTAATAATTAATAGATGAACATATAAAAAAAATTAAAATTATAGATTTCTAAAATTAAGAGATTAAAATTGTAAAAATAAAAATAAAAGAAAATTATGAATTTAATATTACAGAAAATCAAAAATATTATTTAACCTGTGTTTTAATTCAGACTTTAACTAATTAAAATACTTTTAAATATAATTATTTTAATTTTAAAACTTTAAAATTAAAAATAACTCAGTTTGTATAAAATAATTATAAAAAACAATAAATACTTTAAAAAATATTTTTAGACAACCACATAAAAATATAAAATAAAATAAAAAAAAAACTTATTTTAATAAATAAGAAGAAAAAAAACTTTTAAAAAAATAATTTAATATGTGAAGCGCACAATGACACAACTAATAGGATTGCATTTAAAATTGTTAATTTTCATGAACTCTGATAAAGTGAGAATGTTGAAAGAGGAAACGTGAAACATCTGACGGGAGAAACATCTGACGGGAGACCACAATAAAGATACATTATTATTTTAGAGTTGGAGTCGGACTTGAAAAATCACATTTAGCCCCTGTTTGGATCTATTGATTTACTATTTACGTAGAAGGAAAGGCGAAGAAAATGGGTATTTGTTTTCGGTAATTTGCAACGATGGAAAGGCGAAGAAAAGGGGGAAGAAGCGTCGTTGCCATCCTCACACAAAAACGAAGAAAAGAGAAGAAAGTCACGTAAGATTTGTGAAAACCCAGAAATACCCTGCCCAAAACCTGAAAAGAGATGAAAAATTGAAGAAAAATATACTACCATAATCGATTATGCACCATACATAATCGATTATGGACTGGCATAATCGATTATACTGAGGCATAATCGATTATGCCAGTGCATAATCGATTATGTATGAGCATAATCGATTATGCAGCGCATAATCGATTATGTACGAGCATAATCGATTATGCGTTGATGTACATAATCGATTATGCAATCTTGTGAACACTTGGGGCTTGCGCTGGTTGGAATACTCCTTCGAGTTAAAAACTTGGTGGATTTCATATATTCCTTTGGTACCATTGTTATAAGCTTCTACATGAATATAACCATGTCAACATGCAATCTGTGTAAAATATATATCTAGCTAGTATATGAAGCTATATAGCTATAGGTTAATATATTATATATTGGAAAGATTATATATTTTATTATTTAAATATTCACATCAAAAAGTAGAAATATAAAAAAAAAATAATACATGTTTATAAAATTAAAATAATAACACTTTCATAAATATTAATAAAATAATGTTAGAAAATATAATTATCATAATATATTTTATTATTATTATTTATTATTGTAAATATTATTATTATCATTATTATTAATATTATTATTATTTATTATAATTAGTATTATTATTATTTATTATGATTCTTATTATTTTTCTAATATTTATTAATATTAATATCATTATTTATTATTTTTTAATAAATTAAACTTGTTAATATAATTTTATTTTAATTATTATTATTTACAATAAATAATATTATACTCATTTTTAATCCAAAAGTAAAAGTGTAAATTACATATTCATCTATTAAATTTTTAATTTATATCTATTATTAAATTTAAAGTAAATATTTAAATTAAATTATTTTTAAATTAAGATTTTATATTTATTTTTTAGTTAAAATTTTTATATTTATCTTTTAATTATAATAATTATAAACTTTTTTTTAATCCAAGGGCAAAATAGTAATCTTACAAAATTATCAATTAAAAAATTTATTTTTATCTATCACATCAATCAATTCACTCACAAACTTTCACAAACTTTCTCTACACTTTCCCTTAATCCAAACAACCTCACTTTCCACTCACTTTCCCTTCAAATCCCTCCTTTTCCACTCCTCCTTTTCCATCCTCAAATCCAAACAAAGCCTTAAGTAAAAAATAACAGTTTTTACGTAAATTAATACATGGGTGTGAAGAGACGATAAAATTACGTTTGAAAATCTCCCTACGTCAGTGTTCGTTAATTATGAATTATACATCAAATTTTGTGAGTTTGTGGTTAATACTTACTCATAAATCATAATCGTGTAATCAAATAATAATTTACAATTTTTTAATATCATCGTAGTATATTTACACATCACTCATTTGTCTTTCTTTCATTTATTTTTATTTTAATTAAATTTTACTTTTAATTATCTTATAACATTTAATATGTATAATCCAGGTAATGTGTCAAACTTCATAATTACTGACATTATAACACTGATTATAAAATAATATTAAATAGATAAAATAATAAGTAATATTTAATAATGTTTAAGTTAAATTATATTTTTAACCATTAATTTATATTTTTATTTCACAAAAACAAGGATAAAAAAGATGAGAATGATATAAAATGAAATTAAGAATGTTATTTAATTTAAATATTAATCATCGTGATATCTAATAATGTCACATAACGGTAAATATTAGTAAAATTTTTAATAATTGACTAATGAATATTTAATAATTGAATAAAAATAGTGAATTTTATAAATTTAACAAGGTTAAAATTGTAAAATTAAAACTTATAAGACTTAAATCACGAATTGATATTGCAGTGACCGAGAGTGTAATCTACTCTTTTTTTTTAAATTTTTTACTCTTTTCATTGAACGGGACCACTAGTATACTTCAAGATATGTTACAGTATATGTTAGTGAAAACTCCTTTGTATCTTCCTACTCTTTTTTTTTAGGAAAAGGCCTTCAAATTTTGTATGTTCGAAGAACTTTCTTGTAATGTAAAACTTGAAATTATCTTTCAACTTTCTTGCTGGCTAAATAAAAACACAAGGTGTGTGAAAATGAATGAAGGGAATATATTTTACGTTTGATTTATAAAAGTATCACGCAACAAAGAAAAATAGAAAAAAAAAATCCTACATTATATTATTCGAGAAATCATGGAACAACTGCAAAAAACATACATTCGGTATCACTTTAAATTCTTCGTAACAGTTCCAAAGTATAAGTATTCCAAATTACATACCACAAAATGATACCTTATTTGGGCACATAGTTATTTTTTTAAAGTATGTATTGAGCCCGTACTCAAGTGAAAAAATAAAATTTATATATGTCAATAAAAAAAATTAAGTTTTCTATTATTCTTATGGTTCTTGATTCTGATATATGAATGACAAGATACAACTCATCAACTACTTAGGCTTCTAAGTATTATTTTTATTTAAGTCATTGTTGATGTTTTCACAATACAATTTTTATATTTTAGTATTTTAAATATTTTTTCACAAATTTTTAATACAAAATTTTTTTCAACAATTTAATAAGGGTCTGCAAGTGACGTAGTTAGTGTTGCAACTATTGTAATTCATTTTATAAGGGTTCTTATTCTAAAGTGAGAAGTCATTTATTGATGGGAAAAGGTTAGGGGATTGTTATTTGTTCTAAAACCTATGCAATTACCTTTATCCATCAAAACTACATGTTTGAATCCACCTGAAGGTGTGAGCAAGAAAAGAGGAGACATAGAATGATCAATAGAAAAGACAAAGAATAATTATCTGAATCAGCACAATGCAGAAAGCATTTGTGCAGACCATAATTAATTTAAGCCCATTCCTATATGACTACGAAGCCTATGTCACTGGGCTACGAACACGAACCCAAAATGTATGAGCCTCCTCAAAATAATTTTGCTTTTAGACCAAAAACTAATTTTATGCTATTTTACCAAAAGAATAATTTATAAGGTTTTTAAAACTGGACCATCCTTGAAATAGACAAATAGTGAAACGCTGATTTAAGGTTTGATAATATAAATGTGGTTGAACTAGTAATAAATAATGTTATTTTAATTTTTAATTAATATAATATATTGAGTAATATTAAATAAAAAAACAATAACATTCATAATTATTTTTTAATTCAATATTCATAATTTTATAATGTGAAAATTTAAACTTCACTTATAGATGTCATTATTCATGAGGCGTAACATATAATGTTCCAAATTATACGTTTGTTTTACAGTAATTGTGATACTTTTATAATGTGAAAATTTAAACTTCACTTATAGATGTCATTATTCATGAGGCGTAACATATAATGTTCCAAATTATACGTTTGTTTTACAGTAATTGTGATACATATAATGTATTGAGAATGTTCAAAACTAGTTGACAAAATATTCTGTAAATTCACACTTAGAGAAACTCAAATTTATTTTATAGTAGTTTAACTCATTGAAAATGTTTTTTGTTTGTTAGTATTGTTATTTGTCTTTTATTTTTTGGTATCATCATTCTTTGTCTTTGTTACATAGGACAGAAGACTTTTGAATTTGAAATTATATATGTTCAAAATACACTCGAATAACCAAAAATTTCTCCCAGAGTAGCCAACATAATACATTCAGTCACTGTTTTGGGTAGTAGGGATCATTGATTTTCTAACACAGTAATAAGAAAAGTTTAATATTTATTCCTTACACTTCTGAACTAAACATACTAATTATGAAGCATCCAAAATCTAGTTAGTAATAGATGTAACCAATTTGAACCATTATTCATTATTACTGCATACATTTGGATAGTTACAAACTTAAATAAGAGAGAATCTAAATAAAATGGACAGTAAAATTAAACCAATTTTCAAGTTATTTTACTTTAGGGTGCAGATTTGTGCCTGCAAATAACTCTACACCTCAATATCCTATCCTGAACATAGAACCCTGGCACCACCATGATCTTAACCCTGCTAGAACCTTGTGACCTTTGTCTATCAGTAACCAAATCTTCCATGTAGTGAGGATCAAAGCTTCTATTCTCTTCAACCCTTAAAATTCCCAATGGAGGGTTGAAAGAAAATGCCAGCAAATGCAGCAACCATATGCACTTTGCTGCCACAAAGAAAGCCTGAAGGAGTTGTTCAGGCCAAGGCCTTGTCCAATTCAGCGAAGTGATGATGCAACTCATTTTCTGATCACAGAACTTGCTGAACTCTTCACTGTAATACTTGGTACCCTTTCTAAGCACCTCGTTCCAGCTCAAATTCCTAAGTGCAACAAATGATGAGAACTGTGCTTGGCGATCCTGTCTAGGGTCTAAGAACTTTGTGCTTCCATTCTTTTGGAACACACTGTTCTCAAAGTCTTGGTAGAAGGACTGGTTTATGAAGGCTTCAAAATGGTAAAGAACTGCCTTCGAGTACTTTGAATTCAAGGAAAGCCTATATGGTTGGAGGAGCAAGTTCAAGTTGTCCATCAAAGAGTGATCAGTTTCTTCAATTTGGCATATAAGGGTCTTGCAAAATTGTTTTACTGATAGCCTTGATTCTGACACTATCTGCAAGAAGCCTTCTACCATAGCCTCCTCCCCCACAGGCATCAAATTTTCTCCATTCCCATCAAAGGGTGATCCTCTCTGGGGAGGGTTATTGAGCTTTTCAGAAAGTGTAGTATCTTTGGTGTGCATTGCTTGCCTCAAAGATTTCTTCAACTCTTCACAATAACTTTCCAAGTACTCAAGCTTTTGTTTGAGTTCCCCCAGTGAAGATCTCATCTCAGAAACTTCCAACAAGGCAGCATCTCTACTCTCATTTGCCTCCATTAGTTCCCTCTTCAGTGCCTCAACTGACATTATCCCCCCCATGTCCTTAAGAACCTGAGAGACTTCCTCAGATTCTGTCCTGTTTGGGGAACTCATAACATTCTTATGCTTCTTCTTGAACCTAGGGAACAGCCAGGAAATCACCCCTTTACTTTTTGGTTGGGTTTGGAAAGAGGCATGGGAATCTGTGAGGGGGACGACAATGTTGGAGCTTTTGGTGTTCCTTGTGTTATCATATTCACTAGTTATCACAGCAGGGTTGCACCTATTGCAGGAAGATGAGGGCTTCAAGTCCCCCAAACTGTTTCTCCTCCTTGATTTGAAGTAGTCATTTGCAGGGGAAGGTGATGTTTGGAGAACAGTAATGTGATTTGCACAAGAACCACTCACAGATTTGCTATCATCAGCAGGACACAAGTGAGAGTCTAGGTTATTGGAAAATCCAAAAGGTAGTCCCTTTATTGAACCTGATTTTTGCTTGCAATCTGAATGGGCCATGGTGTTACCTCCTTCTGCCCCATTCTCATCCCAACTTTCTGATATAGTTCTGCTCTTTGTTGGGTTCTGGTGTGCTACATCTTCATAACTCTGCCAATGATTCTCTCATTTAGAGACTAATTCTTCAACATAAAAAGCACACATGATCTATGCCTCCAAATGAAAAAAGCAAGATAAAGCAAAGCAAAAGTCCTAAAAAGTTCAGTACTTGAGTAACATTTTTAAAAGTTCCATGAAAAGCAAGATAAAGCAAAAGTCCTAAAAAAAAAGGGTCAAATCAAATCAAATCTCACCCAACTCATGCTTTATGTTTCATTTCAATATTCCATGCATAGTCTAGAAAGTTGAATGACAAAAAAATGAAGTAAAATTACATAGTCTTACTGGTGTGAAAACAGGGTAATCTTGGGAAGAGAAGTGAGAAGCAGGGGAAGGTGATGGAAATCTAGCATTGGTTGTTGTGCCAGGACTACTTCCATGTCTTAATGCAGCGTGAAGAGCCCTTAATTCCACTGCTTTGGCTATGGCAGTTTGGATTTCTTCCCTTGTAATTTCAGGGTTGTGGCTTTGGTTGTTATGGTCTTGACAAAGTTTTGCGGTTGCAGTTGCAGCCATGAAGCACAACAGAGGAAAGAACAAAGTGGAGCATGCAATGCAAAAGCCGAGAAGATAATATGTGCACTAGAATATTGATGTGCTTGGAATTTTTATTGACAATAGGAAAAGAACAAAACGGATTTTCAAGTGGTGACATCCAACGGCTGGATTTTGCTTGATGGCTATTATTATATGTATGGTTATAAGAATGGGATCTTGGAGAACCAGAAAATGGAATGAGGGATACAAAGGGTCACGTCTCAAACCCAATGAAGTGAGCCTTGTCTTTGTTCTCATAGGAAAACTAATGAGGTGAGCACATGTGAAGAAGAGAGAGACATGAGTAATTTTCTTTTCTGGTACATAGACTTGAGTGAAGAAATTTTATCCCAATTGAGAAAGATACAAAATTTATTTAAGGGTAGGAGTCGCTAGGTGGCAGGGCAAGTCTTGGTGTTCAAAGAATATTTACAGAGATACTTACATAATATCTTGAAGCTATTAACAATGAAATGAAACTCATATTCTTATGAGATATATGTTTGTTTCTAACTAACTAAATTGCTAAATATATTCCTGTTTAATATATGTTTATATACACCATTTTATATTTATACAGTGTATGTTTAGTTTGACATCTTGAATTATTGAATCCATGTCAAACTGAAAGTTGCTATTTGTAGCTTTTACCTTTTTTATTAATCTGTCATGAAAAATTGAGAATAATATATCATAAAAATGTTAATCCAAAAACATTGATAATTTTCATTATTTGATTTCAGTTATTTTGGTTTATCACATGAGAAATGATTTACTTGGTATTGGTCTACACCAAGGATTATATGATTCTGTGCATCCCAGCAGTGTGAACCCAGTTTACCGAAATGCCCACACGTTAGAAAAATTACCAGAAAGTGGAATTAGGTGTATTGCTTTGTAAGCAACATGGGAAGTTCCATCCACTATGTATAATGTCCCCCATCATATCTAAGGTGAAGTAATATTCAGCTTTCAATTTGAGGGCATTGTCAACCATATATTACTTTAGTACTCATTTACATTTTGTGTGTAATCATGACTTGAGTATGATGCCAAGTGCCAACTATAACTGTTCAAAAAGCCATCAAATACTTCCCTTACCCCAATATGGTGGTGAGGAGTAGGTGAACATACTAATTAAACTAAATGGCTTAAACCTGAAAGAATATTCTTCTTGTATATTAAATGCCTAATGCACAGGGTATAACACAAGCCTCACTATTCAATTTTTTCCATGCAAGCATGATGACCCTTCATGAAGATTAATATTGTAAACCCTTAACCTGTTCATGGATCCAAAGGCTAATGGGAATTTTCAAGACGGAAAAAAGACTTACCAAGTTCATGGAGTTGACCTCAAATTGGAGAATTTTAAAGCATTTAATATGTATTTAAAGAAAAAATAGCGATTAATCTCGGTAGGAAATCGTGGACTCACAAGATGAATACTCTTCTTTTTAACATAATCCGTTTGATATTTAATATTAAGATCCAAATTCTAAACAATTTAGTTAATTGATATAACTTTACCATTTATGTCAAAAGTGTGGTTCAATAATTTTTTTTATTTTTTTTTTGCAGATACACAGTTAGGGTGGCTGAGGTTAATATTGTCCAAGTACAGAAAGTAAAAACAAACAATATTGAGCCGTGCAAGGTTCAGTTTTTTCGGCCGAAAGGGAAAGGAAAATAACCAAAAGGTCCAAAACCATCCAAAAACTCACAGACAAGGAATCCTACAAGACAGAATGCCATAGTGGGGACCAATTGGTTCGTAGCATCTTTTAAAAATTCAAATTACATAAAACCCTAGCCATGTCATGCACAAATACAAGTCCCCATAGGGTATTTTTGAAATTGGAGAACGTTTTCTTGGTTGCAGCATGGTACCCTTTTGTATAATTGGAATTGGAATTCCATGTAGGACAATAGAATTGTTTAATTAGGAGGAGTTTGTTGTGACTGTGACCACCCCTTTTTCTCACAATGACACTGTTTTATGGAAATTAAGATCCCTAAGCCAAACCGGCCAGGGCAGTTAGTAAGATTTGTCAAACAAACACATGCAAAAAGTGTCTTTTCTTGTTTAATTGGTAGCATTAACGCATATGCCTGAATTAAATTCTGTATTTTCTTTGATCAAATATTTCACAACCACTCCAGCAACCCTTAGTAGGTAGTTTAGCTAAGCTTTAGAAGACAGAGGTATTTGGTTTTGACTATAATTGATGTAGTAGTTGTGAAAACATCAGTCTTCTCCTAACCACCAAATATATTTTTTGTTCCCACCAAACGATCATAGGATGCTTTGACATTATTCAATAATTATACGCGAGTTAAGAATTAAAGGAGATCTATTTATTGATACTGGATTAGCTGAATAAATGTTAATTAAATGGTTTAGCAGAATGAAGTTAATCCACTGGTGAAAGGGAGTATCAATCTGCTAGTCCACTGCACAAGAGAGTGAAAGGAGTTTTTCTGGAATGAGAAAAATCAAGGTCTTTGAACTTATCAATTTAAGCGCGCATACCATTCATTGTTGAAAAAGTAAGAGACAAGATAATTTGATCACGTAAGGAGATAAGAAAGAATTTCACAATCAGCTCCTAAATTTTGATGATGAAGATCAAAATTGGAGTAGACAAATTCTTTATTCGATAAATCTAAAAATACTTGTGCAAAAAAAAAAAAAAAGTTAAAGATGATGTTGAGAAAAAACAATTCTTATGTCAACTAGAAGTAAAATAATATCAATTAAACATAAGATAAGTAAAGAGTATATAAGTGTGGAACAATTTTAAAGATTAAGTTAGACTTATAAATCACTTTTTTAATATAGTATCGAATTTATCTACTACTAATATATTCATGAAATTTAACAGTATTAAACGTGAGAGGATATATTGAAAAAAATTTAAAGTCTAATATATCATAAATCATTAAAAATAGTCATTTATCATTTATCTACATATTAAATCCAATAGTACTAAATAAAAGAAAGTGTATTGAAAAATATCCTAAATTATTAAAAAATGTCACCCACCATTAAATTTAATAGAAAAAATTAAAGTCTCACATCAACAAAATGATAAATGAGTTAAAATATCAATTATTACATAATATTGATCAAAATTTAGTTGATGAGGTAATTACTTATATATGTTTATCGTGAACACCATTTTGAGTGGAGTTTACTGGGTTTGAGACATGCATAACATGTTTTGTAGGATTAATTATTTGAATATTGTTGTAAATACTAAGTTTATATTAAGAGAGAGTATTTTTTATGAGTAAAAATGGTAAATAAAAGATGACAATTTCATGACTATCGGATAAAAGAATCAATGACATGCTTTAGATTTTCAGACCAAACATTATTATTTACTTAATAATTAGTCAAAATTTAATAATATTCAATTTGATAAAAACTTTACTTGTAATAGCAACCTACTAGAAAAATTTCACCTTTAATATCAAGTGAATTGTTATAAATAAACTAAATTTGATTAATAAAATACCAAGTAAATAATTATATGTAAAAGTCTCTTAAACATATCTAAATACACGTCAATTAACGCATCAATTAAACATAAACTTATTTGTCATTAACTTTTACACTTTTATCTATTATTTTTATTTTTTTTATGAGTATATGTTATTCATAGTTTTAATTTGTTAGAAGCAAAGCATATGAAAAAAAATAAAGAAAGAGAACAACACAAGGATTTAACATTATTTGACAAACTAGGAAATGTTTTAATATTTTTTGTGTGAATAAAAGTATTATAAAGTGTTAATTATATAGTAATATAAAAAGTAAAATTTCTTTAAAAATATTAGATGTGAGACTAAATCAAACTACACGATACTAACATTATTCACCTAATTTGATTTGCACTTTTTCATTAAAAGTTTCTGTTTTATTTTTAATTTCATCTGAACTTCTTGACAAATCCAATTAAATTTCACACTAAGCACTTTTTACGATTGAAGTAGAGATTTTCTTTCCTTAACATAAGAAGATTTTGTTGTGTTTACTTTACGATTGAATAACCAAAAAAATAACATGCATTATGTCATGTGTACATACAGTTGAAAATTACAATATAGACCACTGACATTCCTATTTTAATAAATAAAAAATTGATGTCATTGTCAGTGTTATTATTATATTAAATTTTGTATAACATATTAAAATAATATATTTTTTAAAATATTAAATATGTTAATTTAGATAAAGAATAAAATTTTATTAATTTAGTGAAAGACAAGTTTGTATCGAGAATTTATTATAAAAATATGTTTTTAAATAAATTACCATCATCAATTATATGTTAGATTACTCTTAAAAAATGTGTAAGTTATTTTAATGTTAAATAAAAAACTTGAAAAGAAAAGGCCAAATTTATTTATTTTTTTTATGTAGAATAAGTAAAAAATTTATGTAAATAAGGCTAGATATTTTTAAAAAAATTATAATAGATAAACATGATAAACCCAAATCGTGTACTTTAAACTAAAACAAGGCCTGATAAAAACATAATTTGACTTAATACATTTTCACTTTTATCTCTCATAGAGAATATATATATGAGGTCCATGTCAAAAAATTTATTTTTTTTAAAATGCATACATTATTTATAAAATATTATTGGCAATACCCTTAACGATTTAGAAATTTCGATATATGATTGAAAAAATAAAAAATAAAAAATTGATCGAATATTTTTCAAAACTTACCCAAAAACAACTTATTTTTTAACTAATGAGGAAAATATATATAGAAAAAAGATAATGAATTTAAACCATTAAATAAAATCAAAGAAAAAATATAGTAAATTTAAACCATTAAATAAAATCAAAGAAAAAGAACTCAAAATTTTAATGAAACAAACACACACACACACAAATATCCTAATGTAGTCATCACATACACACACACAAATATCCTAATGTAGTCATCATACACACACACACAAATATCCTAATGTAGTCATCCAAAATTATACTATATGATATTGTATTTGTTATTATTTTTTTTTATCATCATATTGGTTGAAATTTTGGGACCTTAACTATATTAAAGTTATTTTTTACAAGGTTATTTTTTTTATTTATCAAACTTAAGACCTTAAGACTTGAGATCAATCACAATATCAATTATACAATCAATATTGTATTTGTTATTTTAAAAAATTGATCACTAAATTAATTATTTAGAAACCAATAAGCATAGGTAGGATTATTTATTTTAGCTGGTAATCTCCAATTTTAATCACAAATAGATACTTATAAAAAGGAAAATTTTGTAGTCTAGAGTAA